ACCTTGTCAATTTGCAATAACTCTTAAAGACAAAGTACACAGTATAAGAAATACAACATTTCATTCTAAAACTTGTAATACTTGCATTTACCCATAACACCTTTGGAAATACTCTGACCCAGTCATTTAGCAATCACTATTTGGTCCTTGTCAAAGTCCTTGCTATTTTTTCCTGCTTCTAACACATAAAAAATTCAAGAACTGACTGTTCAAATCCTGCCTAATACAGTATATCCCATACCTTGACAGGTGCCATTGTAATGTTATTCACTTCACCTGTCAGTATTTTAATTTTCTGGCTGAGTAGTGTAAATGAGAACAATAATAATGTTTTGAGTGTTCCCTCTATGTACATAATTTGTATTGCGCTATCAACTTTATTCCTAAACTTTAAAAAGTAAAGAAGGAAAAATTTGCACATTGTCTGTTTTAGACAACATTTCGCAAGTCAATTATCAACTTTCTGTTTAGTAACTAGAACCCTGGGTTAGGTTATCTTTAATAACCAGTATCACATCTTTTTTCTAATTAGTCGTGTTCTATGCTCCACACTGTTTTCTATAAAATATCATTGGACAATAATATATCATTGGACAATGTAATTCTTGCTGTTGTGTTCTAGAAAAACTACCATTGTGCCATTATAATAAAGTTTAGCTATGATGGCTTATTTTAACTCTTTGAGGCTCTCCGATTCTGGTTATCATTAGGAAAACTGTCAAAATCTTGATCTACTAATGGATGAGAAAAATATACTTACAGATAAAAGCTAAAACATAAACATTTTCTTCATCAATATCGTATTCGTCTACATACTCCATTGCCCCTAGTATCTTGCAGTTCTGTCTTATTATTTTCTTCTGTTTTGTTCTTGGACAATACTAAGGAAAATGTACTCTACATTTATTGCATGACACTATAATCTTCCCGTTTTTTTTCAAAGATGGCCTCTTTGTCTACAAAAGAACAGACAAAAGAGGCGATTCTCTGCTTCTTGCTTCTCATACAATATGACACCTGCTTTTCAGTTTTTATAACACCGTGACAGCTAGTGTGTATCGTTTTGATTTTGACAACTTAAATATACCACCTTCATATTCTTGTAATGGTACTTGTATGAAAATATCACAAAACACAAAATTGAACTCTGGATCTATACATCTTTTGAAAGCTTTTATTAACTGCCTTATAACTGCTTCACCATGTTCTAGCATATCCATACTTCATACCTATACCTATTGATCCTACTTAAATATGGTTTACTGAATTTTAATAGCAAATCAGTAGTAGAAATTAATTTTCAACATCAACCACTATCAAATAGATGGAAGAAACTTCTTTTGTCAGAGACAATTGGTAGTAACCTGTTTTCAAAGAGGCAATAAAAAAAAGCATACTTAAGAAAACAGTTTTCTTTTTCTATTTTTTTCTATTTGAGATTTAGATATCAACATCAAACTATATATTTGAAAAAATGTAAAGATGTCTAGTCTACATTCCATTAACACTCTACCTTTTACGCTGTAGAAGCTTGTGTAAGCATAATATACAGCCGCATTATTGTAAAGCCAGAGTTTATTACATGGGTAAGTAAGATGATCTTTGAAAAAATGCACAAGTGCTTTGAAATAACATAAAAACTACTTAATCCAATCTTCTCCCATACAATTTCTATCAAGGAGAACAGACACAGCCTGTTAAAATAACAAAGAATGTAGAGTTTCCATTCACAGACAAAGTGTCCTCATTCAAACGTTCATTCTAAAGGTACCTTTTCTTTAGACTCAGTTTTCTGTGCTAAAGAGTAATACGATTCCACGAAGGCTCTGTTGATTTTGTTTTATGTTAATTGGCAGCGCTATTTAAGATTCACAGACTTGGTGACACCTAAATGGCATATACCCTGTTGTGTGCAAAAGGTAGATAAAGGAAGGAGGAGAAACATAAAACAGGTGGGGAAGGTTAAAGTGGCATTATCAAATGTTGCAATGGATCAGGAACAGGGCTTGCTTATTCTAGTGATAAAACAATTGCTGGGTGGAAATGATTTTACATGAGCTATCACATTACGTGTAGAGTCCTGAGAAACCAGCAATGTGTGGCTGCCTTGTAGAGAAATATTACAAAGATAGACTTGTTAGTGGTTAGATCTTTTGAACCCAAGGATTGGAAATGAGCAAATACTCGTACGCCGTTAATTGTAATTAGTATCATAAGTGCTATGCAAAACTTTGCTGCCAGTAATACTTTGTACTAAGTCCTGTAAAACGGCGACATGCTTTGTTGTGTTTGAAAGATCCAGAGGATCAAATACAAGCTTTTAGTGTAGATTTTGCCTTGATACGAAGGTCAGTTCTTGTAATAGCTTTAGAACATATGAAACAGTAGGGATTGTGTTTTCCTTGTACTAATGAAACAATGAGCATTAGTGCATGTTTATTAACTAATAACATAGAAACACAATTCATTGGAACTTACAAAATATGCATGTTTGCTCTTTTTTCCCAACTTCTAATAAACCTAAATTCAAGGACTTTAATTGAATTTTGTAGTACAGTCAAAGAATTTAGTAGAATGTTATTTTTTTTTATAGCTTATTACTAAACTTCTCATATGTATATTTAGATAGTTGCAGGATAGGATAAACAAAACATTCAATAATACAACCGAAAATATAGCAGTAAAAAAAAGCCCTAGACCATTAGAAACATAAAACTATAAAATGCTGCTTATATATTTATGAATGATACATTTTTCTATTTTCTATTATCTATACTTGAGAATATTTAACTGTAAAATAAATGTATAGACTATTAATCATATGTGCTTATAGACTATATTTTTTTTACTTGAATTTTCCATGAAGTCATTGTCATAGAATATAATTTAGCTGATGTTATCTTGTTAACTGCTACCATTTCGAGTTTTAATGAAGTATGTAAGTTGCTACTACAAAAAAAAAATATTGACTGGGAATAATCCTTCATAATTTCAAAATGACAGTCAGAGCTCTTCATGTATCCACAAATTGTTAACTTACTTATTACATTTAGTATAAATAGATATTCTGCTTCTTTCGTTAAAGAATCTAGATTTAAAAATGACATATGTACGGAATCTGATAAAGCAACCTCTTGAAGCAGAGAATTCCACATTAATTTTGCCTTCTTAAATGTTATCACCTTAACTGTTAACATTTTTTAGCATAGTTTAACATTTAAACATATTCTTTCCAATTTCCCAATTTTTCTATCCTTTGTAAATAATGGATACTGCATGTGTTTTATCCCACCATGTTTCAGTAATAACTATTTTGCAAATGGTATGGTATGGTATGGTAATGACTCTAGCTCACCCATTTTGTTATTCAGACTCCTTGCATTAGCAACTCCTTATTCCTTAGCACCCTTATGTGCTGTTCTCACTACTCGATCTCTTTAATTTCCACCCTGTAGCTATTCAATCCCAAGCAAAGCTGATCCTCTTCCTTGCAAGTACAATTCATTATGGCTATAAAAATTACAGCAGAGTTTTATAATGAAACAAAGTCATTTGTTTCATCCCACCATGTTTCAGTAATAGCTATTATATAATTTGGTTTATTATATACCAATACACCTGGCTCACCCATTTCTCTATTCAGACTCATTGCACTAGTGCATTTGGTACTTTATTTATTTTCTTTTATATCATTTATTCTTTGTACTAATGCCATCACTAACCATTGTCAAATGTTATTAATTCGGTTTTATTCATCATACTCCACAGCCCCTATGCTTCATATAAGTCACATCTTTCTATTTTAGGTGGAATTTGTACATTTCAGTGTCCCTACCCTATTCCTAATTGTAAGTCTCCTGCAATTGTCTAACTACAGTGATAACATTCCTTTGTCATCTCTCTTTTTTCTTTCCACACTCTATCTTCTATTTTCCTTCCTTTAAGACTAAATGATAAACTCTATCTTATGTTTCTTCCCCTATCAAAACAACAATATTTCAATATGTATCTCGTCTTTACAACTTCAGCCTGACTGATTGAAACTCAGAACAAAGTATTCGTATAGAGTGTATTATAGCCCGCATGTAATTTTTTTGCTATCACTTTTGCAACAGTGACAAGTGCTTTAAAGCAGTGGTCCCTAACCCAGTCTTCATGGACCACCAAAAGTCCAGGATTTATGTATTTATCTGTTTTATTCCAATGGAAATATTGACAAAACCAGGACTGTTGGTGGTCCACGAGTACTGGGTTGGGAACCACTGCTTTAAAGAATACAATAAATTGCAAGTAAGCATTTACAGACTGGCATGGATGTATGCTGTGTTTTCACCCAAATACTCTTTCTAATGTTTGGCTTTCTGTTGGTGATAATGGTTTTGACAATGGTTAAAGGCTGGGGAGATCTTATGGGATATATTGAATATACCTATTCCAATGCAAAGCCAGAGTTTTAATAAAGGAAGGAGGGCTTTGGGTTTTCAGGGCACAGGCTGGTTTTGCACTTGGGTACATTTTTGTAGTCATCATGTATTGTTGATCAGATCAAGTGAGAAGTAACCAATAGAGAAAACAAAGAAGGAGCAACAATACTTCCTTATTAATATATTTAAATATTATACAATTAATACAAATATAAATATAGATTTGTTACTGCTTTATACTTTTTACCTGCATTGGTTACTTTTCCTTGCTTGTTTTGTAAAATCAAATGGAAGAAAAATAAACATCAGTGTACCGCAAAATTTATACATCTTGGCTTGACTTCATGAATCAAGATAAAGGAAGTAGGTTGTCTACATTTGCTGCAGAGTTCAATGACGAGGACAGACAGATACAGCCGCAGTAGCTGCAATAGAAAATCTGGTCTTACTTTGATGCCACAATGTCAAGGTCTTTCCTCTGTTTCTTTTTGTTTTCAAATTCTGCCCTGCATATGTTTTCAAAGGAGGAGACAACCCAATGAATGATGTGTCTCCACGTCTCTCAATCGGAGGTTAGAGCAGACCAGTTACAATGGTCAATGTGATAGGCACTAAGATATTTCTTCAGATCCTTTTTGTTCCAAACTCTCTTATACAGTCTGCCAAATACTCTGTCTGACTTTGCCAGTCTGCTATCCAGCAATTTTGGTGTCTAAAGAGAAGATGCACCAAAATTAGCTGTACTGATCGACTGTATTCAGCTCTGATTTGGCAATGGTAATGCTGGGGTGATGGTAATCTCCATAAGGTGCAGGCTGGTGGAGGAATTCTGTCTTTTTCAGGCTGATGTATTATCCAAAGCACTCAGCAGCCTCTATGATGCAGAACGTTATTTTCTGCAGCATCGTCTGTGAAGAGAAGCTCTTTTGAGTTGGTCCACGACCTTGGTGCGGGCCCTTAGTCATCCCAGGCCATCAGTGCAGTAATGGATGTAGACACCATCCTCTTCATCAAAGTCTACAGTGGCCTTTTAAAACATTGAGCTGAAAAATATCATGACGAGAGATGGTGCAAGAATACAACCTTGTTTTACACCATTGCGTATTGGGAAGAGTTTTGAGATATTGTTTCTGTCTCTGACTTAGCTATGTTGATCTTTGTGTAGCTGAATGATCATGGTGAGGATCTTAGGGGGACATCCTAGGTATTCCAAGATTTGCCACATAGCTTTTCTGCTCACAGTGTTGAACGCTTTGGTGAGGTTAGTGAACAATCCCTTGTTCTGTTCCTGACATTTCTCTGTCTAAGAACAAATAACATGCTGGTGCTGCTCCTTGTAGCTCTGGAGCTGCTTTGGCTCTCTGGAAAGAGTTCTTCTGCAATAATGGATACAAGTCTGCTCATTAATGGATACAAGTCTGCCTTGCAATGATTTTTCATGTCATGGAGAGCTCTGTGTTATCCCTGCTAGTTGGAGCAGTCAGACTTTCCTGCCTTGTTCTTATACAGGGTGATGATTAGCTGCTTAATAGCCTTAACAGTATATTCAAGAGTGGGAATCTCATCTAACTACCAGTTCAAGATTGACATCTTGTCTGTGTGGAATGTTTGACTGCCTGCAATGCAGGGACATTCTGCACTAGGTTGTGTAGTTTAGTGTAGAACTTGCCCTTTTCAGCAGGTCATTCTTGAAGAATTGGAACGTACACACTGAACAGCATGACATGCTGATTGTTTCAAAATTGGAGGTGCTGGGAGATGATGAAACTTGATGGACCCAATGGCAGTTTGTCAAGTTGTAAGGCAATGACAAAATCCTGTTTATAAACCCAATTACATAGAGGCGTCTCTGGCTTTCCTGACCAATAGATGGTGTAAACCGTGCCAAGCTCTTGAAGGCTGCCTACCTCTTGGAGGCAACTTCACGAAGAGCAACAATGTTGACATTGGCCTTGAAACTTTGTGGGTAACTAAAGTGAAGCGCTTGCCTCGGCCTGCTACAGTCTGGTTTCCACTCCCAACATTCCACTGAGACCGCCTTGGCCAAGGTGACTAATGATATGAAAAGCTAAATCCAAAGGCTATTAATTGCTTTTTATTCTTCTTGGTCTTTTTGTCACAATTACACTGTTGACCCCCTGATTCTCCTTCTCACACTTCGCAGTCTTGGCCTTGGTGATACTGCTCTTGCCTGGAACTCTTTTAACTTCTCTGACCACTCCTTCAGGATGTCCCTATTTGGCTCCTCCTTATCGCTCTCAATTTTAGTTCCTCAAGGCTCTGTACTGAGACCTCTTCTTTTCTGAATTTACACTGCCTCTATTGATAACCTGATATCATCCCATGACTTTCAATATCAGCTGTATGTTGTTGATACCCAAATCTACCTCCTCTCATTTGACCTTTCATCCTGTTTGCAGGATTGTGTCACCAGCTCCCTAACCCTTTGTTTCTTACTGGATTTAATGGTTCTGAAAACCAAGCTCCTTGTCTTTTCTTCCTCTAAGACTATGTCTGTGCCTGTTTTCCTTCTGAAATTTTTTATTTATATTGTATGTGGGCAGTGGAGTGTTACTATGCTTTGATGGCCTAAAATTTGCAATTCCTTTATCACTTCTCTATATTGCCTGGTTTAACATTTTACCTGACAGCAATAGATATATATATATTTAACTTGTGTTCTAGAAAATAAAATTAGCCCACTCACCTACCCCATATATCCAGCTTTGATGTTCAACATAGAAAGACACTAATTTTTATACTAGAACTACTTTTTTTCAGGGACTGTAACTCAAGCACCCTCCCTTTTCCTAATACTCAGTCTATATAATAAACTTTATGACTGCATTCTCGCAAGAATGGAAAGAGGGAATTCAACACCCTCCCTACTATACAGCAGGCAAAGGCAACCTTCGGCACTCCAGATGTTTTGAACTATACCTCCCATGATGCTTTGCCAGCATTGCCAGTGTAAGAGCATTATGGGGGATGTAGTCTACAACATCTGGAGTGCCAAAGGTTGCCTATCCCTGCTCTACAGGGATGTTATGCGTGCAGGAAAGCATACATAAGAAAAATGCATTAGTAGGGAATGGGTTAATCAACATCACTGATTGACTTCTGTCGTTATTGTATAAATATCAATAAACATGGATATAAGAGTTCTCATATATTTGTTTTTTCTGATCTATTAACAAATAAAAAAAAAACTTTGAGACAGTAAGCAAATTATAGTTATGTTTGGCTATTGGTATAGTAAAACTGTTGTCAACATTGCTAACAAAATAAGAACAATACAAACTAATATTATTAATATAGTATATAGTATGAGTGTAATAGTACATTACAAAAGCATTGCTTAAAAGACTGTTGTGTATAAAGTTTGTATTTGCTCACTATTCAGCAAGACACCAGCAAGTGATAAATTATTTACTCATAATGGAAAATACTCTTTGTAAGGTATAGTTGAAATCATTTTGTCTTCTGGGATATTTACCAGATGAAAAGTGTTACAAGTTCTGACAACAACAGCATTCAAATTGTTTTGGTACATAATTTAAATTTCTCTTAATTAATAATTTAGTTTGTATCATTTGTGTATGAATTATATTACATGTATATTTAGACTCACATGGGATCACAGCAAAGTCATTGGTTTGAAATGAGTCTTTATAAATAACTTAGCAATCATGTTTGAGAAGAAGGGAACATGCTGTTTGGAAAAAAATTTGTTAATTAAGACATGAAAAAAAAATTAATGCATTTAGTGAAAGATCATTGCACAGTGCCAGCTCAAGGGGGCTTATGTGTTAAGAGGATTTGCAATCCTTTTGCTGGCAAGACTTGCTTTGAGCACATGTAGAATACCCCATAATTTTACGGTTAATGCAGCAATTAATGACCTAATGTATGGATTCCCTTATTTACTGTGCCTTGTACAGTATTTTCCCTGCAAAATGTGGGTATCTTTTGTACTGTTTACCTTTGTTCTTTCTAATAAAAAAAATCTTAAAGAAAACTTACACTGTTAGGAAACCCGTCCAAAAATGGGAAACCACAAAATGGGGCCAAATATGCTGCATGGCTGCTATGTTACCTATACTGATTTCATAAGTATCAAAATCCAGTTTAAAAAACAAATTCACGAAAGAAGCAACATTTCAATCTATGGCATTAATCTCTTATTGTTTCATGTTGACATGTTTGATCTAACCTTGTACCACACTTTTTCCGATAAGCGGAACTGAAAAACTACTTGATAAGCAACAATTATACATAAAAATGTGCAGTAACCTCTAATGCCTGACTACTGTAACACAATGTCTACATAACTGTTCACCTTTGATATATGAATATGCATGGGCAGATGGAGGGGATATAAATGTTTGTGTGTACATGTACCTGTATGGATGTGTTTTAACGAATTAGATATCTGTATATTATTAATTTATTTGCATATATAGCATATGTATATTAACACCTATCCACACACATACAGTCATGGGAATAAGAAAGTACAGCTTCTTTATTTCTGTGGTTTAAAAGCGATAATAAAAATTCCTTTTCCTCAAGACAAATTGTTATGTTAGTTTAATAACTTATTTGCATGTTGACACAATAGTTATGCAACACCAAGACTTTTGTTTACCACCAAAAGAAGAAATACAAAGAATAAGCCAATTTCAAGCAAAACAATCTAAAGGATCTTCCACCATTTAAAAATATCTTTTTTTTTTTCTGGCCTGAATTAAAATGGGGGTAATTTGTAGTTTTTAAGTAAATCCACCAAAATGTTTGTCCTAAATGTGAATAGGACATCCTGTAAAATGATGTGACTGCACTGAATAATGACTTGTTGAATGTTACATCGTAATCAGTGTTTTAAAGGAAAAGATTATGGCAGTGAAAACAGCATAAACTACAGGGCTTTGTCAGCTTTGTCACAAGAATGCCAGGAGAAGATCCCAGCCACTTATTGTAGAATGTTAATAGCATCTGTCACTTTAACAGTGACAGTTCTAAAGTGAGAGCATACTAATCTTTGTTTGTAATACCCACAGCTGAAGTAAAAATTCTTATTGATTTCTAAGCTTGGGATAAGCATTAACAGTCAAAAAATTTGGAGAATGTTCTTCAACCTTATCTAGAGACGATAGAATAATTTTTTAATGTTTTTGTTAAAAATTCTTCTTACATTTAGTTTACGCTTAGTTATAAGATACATTTATATTACCATTTCAGCTGTAAATATTAAATATTGTGCTATATTACAAGTGCTGTGTTTAATTTTATACTTAATAGATAAAATATTGACCGACATGAATAATATTTTGTATTCCACGTAGACAAAGTGGTTCAAGATTAATAAAATGTGCACTCAAGTTCAGGTCAGTTCAGGAATATGGATTTATTATTGTAAATACATGTTTTAAAAATTTTAAAAAGATTTTATAAAATTTTCTAAAATGGGTGTTTCCATTATTTTTTTTATTTTTTTTGATGTGCTACAACAGTGAATATTCAAGGGTCCGTGGCATCAGGGCCATAGCTCACATAAGGCACACTGACCCGAGGGGCCCAAAGATGTCTGGGTGACCGTCGGAAGATGAGAGCACAGAGAACCCCTCTCCTACCAGACACTCATTGTAGCAATGCCCTTGTTAGTAATCTAGCAAATTGGCCAAGTGATCGGGAAAGTAAGCCTGTGTGTATGTCTGTGTGTAAGAGCCAATGAATGTGTGTAAGAGCCAGTGTGTATGTGTGTGTATGTCTGTGTGTAAGGGTAAGTGTGTGTGTGTGTGTGTGTATGTGAAAGAGCCAGTGAGTGTGTGTGTAAGATCCAGTGGGTGTGTGTGTGTGTAAGAGCCAGTGAGTGTGTTTGTATGTGTGTGTGTATGTGTGTGTGTGTAAGAGCCATTGAGTGTGTGTAAGAGCTAATGTATGTGTCTGTGTGAGCAAGTGTGCGACGCAAGAGGGTTAAGAGACCACAACATTTGCATAAAGGCATGAAAAGAATTACAGGGGTACAATGTGCAAAAACTGAAAAAAAGAGAGAGAAAAAGTAGGCAAGATGTACAAAAGTGGAGAAAGGATGGTTAAGATGGACAAAAGGGGGGCCATTAGACAGACAAGTAAAGACAAATTGTGGGGTAGCAAAATGTGTCTTTGCCTGTGTAGACAAAAATCCTTGCACTGAATGACATGCATCTATTTAATTAAAATATGTATTATTCTGCTTGGGCATTGTCATAAGTCATACCTCATATCATCAGCATAGTATGTTTCATTATAGTGTGCACAGATGAATTTTTATTAAAAACTAAACAAACAAACATGTAATTTGTGTTTATCTTAGAAACTAAATTGCATCTAAACATGATATTTAAATTGCCAAGAAAATATATTTTACAATATAATAACTTATTATAATAATATATATTAATAGTTAAGGAACTTAAATGAGGGACAGTGTGGATGATTGAATTCTGCCTTAGGCTGTGCACAGGCTCATGCACGGGCTCACCTAGTACACCATGTGTACACTCCTATGGCCTTACATCTTAACTGATAGAGTGATGTGATTTAGGGGGTGTTCAAAATGTAGATGTTGGAGACAAATAGGTGGAAAAAATTGTGTTGAGGAATTTATATTCTCTTTGACAACCTTACAGCATTTCGCACAACTTTTGACCACCTCATGTTAAATGACAAGAAGAACTTAATTTATAACAACATATAGGGGATGATTTTATTAAAAATAGGATGAGAAGTAAAATATATGTTATAGATAGATTTTCTAAATTAGTAATAATGATGATAAATCATACAACCCTGAACGGTTTAATCCCTGAAGGTGAGCCAGCTCCAGGGACCTCCTGGCACCATAACAACTTACATTTTATTAAGTTGTAATGGTGCCCAAACCGATTCTTCAAACTCTTTTGTATAGTTATTAATAAAGTTAATAATGATTCCTCAGTGAATGCCAATATAATTCAAAAGCATTTTTGTAATTTTTTTCTGATCCTTGCTAAATGAGACATGCCATTGTAAGAATATATACAGTGATTTTCCATGAACAGTGTCCATCAATGGTTTATGGAGGATTCTTTATGGGCAGAGTTTGCTTTATATATTTATATACTCAATTTCTTTATTGAGGAATGGGTTAGAATATATATTGTTCTATTCCAGGACTGTTGTTTACTCTTTAAGATACCCATTTATAAAACAGTTTTGCTTTGCAGTTTGCATAGTAGAAAAATGCTATTTTAGGGCTCTTTTTGTAATTCTAAATAACAATTTATACAAAAAATGCTGTTTTGCCATATAATAATACATGCACTAATCGAAAATAGTCAATACAGTAATACGAATTTGCTTGCCATAGGAAACGCCTTTGTTTATGGCTATGGGAATTGAAACATATTTGTCAGTTGTGTCCAACATACAGATGTGTAGACCCTTTGTGTGAATAACTGGCCAGGTCTCTATAACAGGTTTTCATGCCATCATAATGAAAAGTCTCGTCTCTGTGTTTAATTTTGAAACCATCCATCATTGTTAGCATGCAAAGATAATGTTTATTGCAATGTGATCATTCTCAAAATGCATGCGCCTCAATATGAAGTTCTATGTGAGGATGTGCAAGGAATGTTTAAGTCTGATTCATTCAGTGAACATAACGTCAAAAACTTGGTAAGTGTTTTATCCTTTTTCTGTTTAAAGAAAGCTATTCTAAAATGCAAAACTCAAGGACAGTAGATCAAATCCTGATTATGTATAGAAAGAGTGGATATATAAGGATTGTACAGTCCAAAAAGGCAAATGTAGGTAAACACTAACTGGAAGTATAGAATAGGGAGACATGTTTCAGACCTTGGTTGGGCTAATGGAAATAACTCCAGAGAGGTGAAGAAGAGAGTAGGCAAGAAAGGTACTTAAGAATAATAAAATGTTGACACCAGAAAAACAAGAAAACAAAACAAACCAATGCAAGTCAGGGGAATAGAAAAATCTAAATAGTCAGAAACCATTGAACCGAAGAACTCAAAAGCAAGAAGTACATTTAAGAATCATAGGAAATGTAATGTTATATGAAATGTAACATTACAATAAATATAATAAAATGATTTGTTGGGGGTAGTAATGGATTGATTTGTAAGAAAAAATATGTTGCTTCGGACAAATTTTTAAAGGTGTGGGGGGATTAATATAACTTTTAAGATGAAAGGATAGACAAGGGAGTCGTGTTCCAGACCTATGATTGATAATGTATAAAATGTATGTTTTATTTTCTAATTTGAAAAAAGCAATCATTTACTACATATCAAGTAGTTTGAGTGCCATTAATATGAAATTAATAAGCCAAAACAAAATACGATTTATACATACATACTCAATGTAGGAGGTGAATAAAAAAATATTTAAAAATATTACTATATACTATGTATATATATATATTTGTGTACGGGGTAATTCGAGGACGTACAATTAAAAGTATGTAGTTCGATAAGGACAAAAGTCGGTTAAGGTGTGCCGAAACCGACGAGAGGTCAGGCCTGCAAAAGAGGGCCCACCTGGTATATAATTGAAAATAACAAAGGGTGAGGTGGGAGGGGAACTTTCAGACGGCGACGATAGGTAAGCTGGGGTTACTGGGGATTTAAATAGGAAAATAACCCCTCCCACAAATTCAGGCATACGCCTTCCACTTGTGTACGGGGTAATTCGAGGACGTACAATTAAAAGTATGTAGTTCGATAAGGACAAAAGTCGGTTGAGGTGTGCCGAAACCGACGAGAGGTCAGGCCTGCAAAAGAGGGCAAAAATAGAAGACAAGATTAATTCACAGATTAGCAATTATTTAGTCACAATATCGATAAGAGAGTCTGATTTCTGTCCTTGGTTAGGAATGTTCTCATTGTAAAACAACTTACCATATACTACTTATGTGTGTCGTAACACGCCCATTAGAGGCTGCTGTTGCACTGACATGGAATGAAAAGCCAGAGTAGGAGGAAGGATTAAGGCCTGGGTGGAGTAATTAAAGTAACAATTATCACAGTTATTATAGATGGTTAGGTTTAGTTAGAGATCTGGCTAACCTGGCCTTTGATTAAGAGTACAAACTTTGAACCGGGCACAATTTAAAACACCCAGCTCATATGTTTTGATATGAGGAGTAGATAATGTAACGATTGTTGATTCCGGAATTCTTTAGGCATAGGTGCAGGCTGAATGTTTCAGACAGTAATATTTTCCTTTGGCCTCAATAAATCTTGGAATGCCAAGTGAGCTGCTGACACATATTAGTAGCGTTATTACAGGGAGACTTATGGTTAAATTGAAAACTTCCCCTAAGATTTACTGTTGATAGGGAGTGAATTGAATGATTTGTGGAGTTTTTGATCTCGGGCACTAGTCGGCATCTTTACTGAACAATAAAAGAAAATGGGAGCTGTTGGGTATATGGTGTATACGTAATGTTAAATTCCTGTAGGTAAAGTTTTAATAGTATTATAGGCTGGTTTCAAAGATAAGTGGCAAAAATTGTGCAAGCAGCCATTTATCACTGGAACGCACTTATTATCTTGAATCATACACAATACTTACCCATATCGTAGCTTAGAGTAAGTTTGCTTAGTGTTAGTGGACGAATCTACCTGCTTAAAAAAAAAAAACCTCTAACTTAAGGCATGATAAGACCTTATTGAACTGCAGAGGATCCCTGAACTGAATGTTCTTCGAGCTCAGTTACATTTAAGCAAGGCCTGACCTCAGGACTTTAGGAGTGGCCAGGGCGGGGTATACTGCGGGGGACCCTTGGCAGGCTTGTTTCTTCTGGATGAGCGTTAATACCTTATATGTGTAAAAACTGGTAGAACCATGGCGAAAAAGGACTGAGAGAAAAAAAAAAAAGTATCTGACAAATCTGACTCAATGCGAACCGATGACAAACAAAATACTGTGACTAACAGTGGGGAAAATGTGCTCTTAAGAGAGGAACCTGAAAAGGATCTTTGATTGTGGTTTAAACTTAAATATATGTCGTAAAATAACTACCCTACAATCGTTACTTGATAGGCTTGGGATTGTAATTAACTGTATTATAAGATGCCTATAGGTGTAACTTTTAAGAGAGAAACAGATAGCAAGACCGAAAGTCAGTCCTGATGTACTTTGAACATAAATAACATAGTAAGATGTATGTAATATTAAATAGCGTAACATATGATTGAATGCGCATGGAGAACCTTGTGAATGTCAGGCGTGCTGAGACAGGTCCCTGTTAGCTGTCAGGGATTTGAATTGTATTCGTTTGTTCGTAATGAAGGCCGAGTGATGCTTCGATGTCTGATATGAAACAAGTGGGAATTCTGGTTTACCCAGTCTTTATTAGATTGCTAATGCTTTAACCTGCATTGCCTTGTATAATTGATGTAGACAAAATAATTAGGTGACAGTATGCGTCAACGTATGTAATTAGAACTCAATGTACTGAAATGCCCCTAATGGGCTGTAGAGTAATAACAGTATATCTGTAATGAATAAAATCTGGAAGCAGTCACTATATATACCCAAGCGTATTGAGGACCTGGCTATGGTCCGAAACAAGGCCTGAATATGTACCACGTGTAAACGTAAAAGACAGCGTGTGGCCAATATACGTATTTAACGGAAAATATATGTAAGAACAATATGCCTGAATCAATTGTAGGAGGAAACCGCTGATCTTGGTTTCAATTACTTTGATATGGGCACCTAGTGTATGTGGTATAAAAGGATCGCAAAGTGAGTGACAAGTTGGGGAAACATGTATATTTGGTATCATCCTTGTACTGTTATATCTAATTATGTAGGAGACCCTTAGCCCGTAAGTGATTGACGTATTAAAAGCCTGGATTGCCTTGTTTGATAGTTCTGACATACGGTTGTATTACGGTAAGGATATATAAACTCACCATCGAAACTAAAGTTATAACGATGCAGGACATAATCCGCTAGGACACCTGATCTGATTATCAGATATGAAACGTAACGGTTATGCATGACGGGGTTTGCAGGTTCGGTCCCCCAAGTACTACGTGTGTGTGTGCTGGCTGACTAGCTAGTGCCGCAATGCAGCGAAACGATTACTCTAGGTTGGTGACAGGTGAGGCCCTGCTAATTGCCAAGTGGCTTGAGAGGCTCTACCTATGCGTTGGCGCGAGGGGATAGCGTGGCCACTGAACGTTGTGGCGGGGTGTCGGCCTCTCGGTGACAATTAAACATAAGACAGAATGGGAGTGACAGGTGAGGCCCTCTCTATGCCACAATGCGAGGCGACTGACTATGATTTGGCCCGAGGGGCGTAGTACCTCCGAGTGTGAGGATGGGTGTTGGCCTCGCGGGACCACTTAACCTAAGGCGAAGAAGCCAGGGGGAATGATAACTAGTGGACACCTAGGAACCTGACAGCCAGCCATTGCTACTTAAGAGGGACGGTTAGTTGTGAGAGAGAGGACATACCATTGGATGAAAACACGAGTGATAATAAAGTAGAATTGTAAGGCTGACCGTAACTGGAGTGCGCTGTGAGCACTTCGGGACAAGATGGTCGATACGTATGAACTACACTGCACGTATGTATGTATGTATGGCCCTCGTGGCTCGTGTTTTATTTTATTTATTTATTTCCCCTCTACCATACTATTTTAGTCATGAAATGGAATCCATTTAGCGGAATTTAGAAGCAGTGTAACGGTTGCAACGATTACAACTGTAATTTAAAATGGTACTCATCGTAGATACTGTGCGGGTAATTTGATTTGCCTAGACATTATGAGGGGTGTACTCGGTAGCGGCTCACTGCCTGAATCAACCCTAATGACCGTCCCTTAGTTTTAGGGTTTGTGTGAGTGAATGCATGCTGATCGTCAGCGGGTTTGTACAATGGATGGAGAAATATCAAACTGAGTATAACACCGTAACTAGTTTAGAATAGGTTGAGAAACCACCAGTACAATTATCCCTATCATGGGACTGCTACGTGTAGTGAGAGCATAAGAGTGACAGTAACAGACATGATATTACAGGGGTTATTATAGGATGATACAGATTGTAAGGTATCAGCATGGGTTTAAGTTTTTCTACCAAGAAAGACTGCCGCATTGTTAAAGTGGGTGAACATAGTCACTCAGGTTAGACTAATGTAACTTATCTTTCTTCAAAGAATTTTTTTTTTTTTTTTTTTATCATCCTGTAACAGCATTCACTGCTTTGTCTTAAAGGAGCAGTATATGCCAGTTTAAACTGCTGCCACTTCTACCAGTGCCCAGCGCAGTGTGTGGAAGGTGAGCAACGTTACCGCTCAGCTGCTGTAATTCTAGTGTCCCGGTGACATCACTGCCAGCCCCTGCCCTGCCGGTTCGGTGTCTCTGCCGGTGTGCAGCTGGTAGGGGGCAGCAGGGAGGCAGATACCGGGGCTAAGCCCGCAAG